ACAGGGAGTTCTGCTCTGTTATGCAGACAGAGTTGAAAAGAGTAAGAAATGGTTATGAGAGAGGCAGTGGGTGGGAAGCATGTAAAAATTTCACACCAATGGAGAGAGAAAGGAACCCTGGGATGCCTGTCTGTGGTGGAGGGAACACTCAGTTCTGCTCTGTTATTCAGACAGAGTTGAAAAGAGTAGGAAACAGTTAAGGGACAGGCAGTGGGTAGGTGAGGGGTCATGCAAATTTCACACCAATGGAGAGAGAAAGGAACCCTGGGATTCCTGCCTGTGTTGGAGGGAACACTCACTTCTGTTCTGTTATGCAGACAGAGCAGAACTGAGTGTTCCCTCCACCACAGGGAGTTCTGCTCTGTTATGCAGACAGAGTTGAAAAGAGTAAGAAATGGTTATGAGAGAGGCAGTGGGTGGGAAGCATGTAAAAATTTCACACCAATGGAGAGAGAAAGGAACCCTGGGATGCCTGTCTGTGGTGGAGGGAACACTCAGTTCTGCTCTGTTATTCAGACAGAGTTGAAAAGAGTAGGAAACAGTTAAGGGACAGGCAGTGGGTAGGTGAGGGGTCATGCAAATTTCACACCAATGGAGAGAGAAAGGAACCCTGGGATTCCTGCCTGTGTTGGAGGGAACACTCACTTCTGTTCTGTTATGCAGACAGAGCAGAACTGAGTGTTCCCTCCACCACAGGGAGTTCTGCTCTGTTATGCAGAGAGAGTTGAAAAGAGTAGGAAACGGTTAAGGGAGATGCAGTGGGTGGGGTGGGGTCATACAAATTTCACACCAATTGAGAGAGAAAGGAACCCTGGGATTCATGCCTGTGGTGGAGGGAACACCCAGTTCTGCTCTGTTATGCAGACAGAGTTGAAAAGAGTAGGAAACGGTTATGAGAGAGGCAGTGGGTGGGGGTCATGTGAAAATTTCACACCAATGGAGAGAGAAAGGAACCCTGGGATTCCTGTCTGTGGTGGAGGGAACACTCAGTTCTGCTCTGTTATGCAGAGGAGAGTTGAAAAGAGTAGGAAACTGTTAAAGGAGAGGCAGTGGATGGGATCATGCAAATTCCACACCAATGGAGGGAGAAAGGAACCCTGGGGTACCTGCCTATCGTGGAGGAAACACATAAAATCTAGGTTGAAATGGTCCCTGAATGAAAGCATTTGCTTGGGTGGTGGGCTGTAGTGTTTGGGGAGGACATTGGCAGGGTTTGGGCTACCTGTTCATGGCACTCGCTCTCACCTGTACTGTCGGTGGAAGGAGTGCCTTTGGAGGCTTCTCAGCACTTGGAACTATCCTTCATTTCTCCCAAATTTTATCTATCTATCCTTCCTTCTCCATTGCCATCTTTTTGGCCATATCGATGCCATTTTGGGGGTCTGCAAGCAGGGTAAACAGAAAGGACTTTGCAATTAGAAAGGGGGAAATGATAATGTTGGGGGGGGGCATTTGGAGAGAGAGAAAAGGGGGGATTCAAGTGGAAGTCTCTGGGTTTTCAAAAAATCTATCTGAGAAAAGAGAGAGAAGCCCCCTCTTCCTCCCTCCTTCCCTCCTTCCTTCCTCTCTCC